CCGTTTTAAACGAAATATTTGGTTAGGTTTTCGCAAACAAAAATAACAAAACAGAGAAAAATGCATGTACACAGAGAAAAGAAAACATGTTCAAAATATGGTGGCTTTTTAATTTAGAGCAATGTCCACGGCTTTTGGAAAACAAATTCTTCGATAAGATGTTGTTGAGTTACTTATGAAATTTTTACAAGGCGTGTATGAGCACATATGAAATGTTAATTGTGAGCTTACTGGTTGTTCACAGAAACTGATGAATGTCACTCGAATCCTTGTCAAAACGGCGGGACATGTGTAGATGGTGTATACAACTTCACTTGCATATGCCGAAGTGCTTACGGAGGAACATTTTGTCAAGGTAAGAGGTAGTTCAATTAATACTCAGTTAGTCGAAGTTGTGTCCCTCGGTTTTTTTTGTATGACTGATGTTCAGAAAGGCAGTCAAAGCAAAGGAATAACGTCCCGTTAAACAAAGCTTAACCTTTTTTGATCGAGAACCGATGTAATTTAACATTGCTGTAAAATCGTATTGTGGATAAACATTGCTAATTGAGGATATCTGATCTTAATATTCCTATAATTGAACTATGCGTTAAAAATCTGTGCTCAATTTAGCCATATGGCCTTCATCATTTTGGCTACGTTTAGCTCTTGATGTTATCAGGCTTTTTTGTGCAGCCTCGTAAGTGGTAAATTTCAGGGTTGCTACATGCATTGCGCGCAAACTAAAAACACAGTAAGTATAACTTTCAACGAGGGCAGGGAGGGAAACGCCTACTGACGAGCACGGTATCTAAATTGGACGTTGAGTTAGCAAGGTGGACACAGACCGGTCATTTATTTCATGGATGTTTTAATAATAATATCAAAGAAAACCTATAACATAAAAGGAATAAACACAAACACTTGTGACCTTCCCTTAAGTGCTTCCCCAAATTTTGTTATTACGATTACCACATGAGTAACACGCGACAGAGTTTTGATGACGAAATTACGGTGTTGCCACGGGGATCTTTTCTCGTTTGCAATAGTAACTGAATATAGTCGGGTGCAATTTCGCTAACGTCAAAGGCCGACAAGTTGCCACTGAAAACGGAGCCAGTTGCCCACGACAGCAACAAAAGTTGAACGAATTTAATCTTAGTAATTCCTTCCTTTTGGTTCCCGATGGAATGGTGGAATAAAAAATATCCTATGATTTATCATCAATGTTAGCTGCAAGCTGTTCATAAAGCCTCTTCTTTTAACACGTATGCCATGGGGCGCCGTTTGTAAATTTATTATTTAGACTGAATTTATGCCATTTTCCCCTTATTTATAAATAA